TATTTATTTACGCAAATTCACGTTTTCAGGTAGCTCTCGTTATCGAAAAATCATCTTCTAAAATGTGGCCCATTTCGAGCTTAATGGCTTCGTCAACAAACAAAATTGTCACTATTGGTCCTCGTGTGGTTCAGGAAACGCAAGTATATCTCCGAAAATTCCCGACCAATGTCTTTCGAAATGCCGTTACCATCAACAGAGAGCGTCATAGCACGATGTTGACCGACTTTTTCCCCATATTTTGTGAAATCGACGATCTCTATTTCCAACAAAACGGAGCGCCGCCTCATGTTTCACGGCTATATATGGACACATTGCGTACAAAGTTTGCCGACTCGTTAATTTCCCGAATTGGCCCAATGGCCGGCAAGATCAAGCAATTTAACGTCTCTAGACTATTTTCTCTGTAGATATTTTAAATCAAAGGTTTACGCAAATCAAGCAGCGACGCTTGAAATTCCAGCTCAAATGCTGCACCGGGTCATCGAAAATTGGCAAAAACGAGTTTTGTTCAAATCATAAATAGCATAAAATTATTTTCAAAGCAAAAAAAAACAACCAGAAACGTTTTTGACCAAATTTGAGTGTTTTATTCAGCATCACGTCTTTCTTGTTGGTAGACCCTTTATATAAATGATCAGACTGACAAGCTGAGTCGATTGAGCTACATACATATATCCGTCTTTCTTCTCGTCTGTCTGTATATACCCTCAGTTTTCGATATCGATCTGAAATTTTGCACACGTCCTTTTCTCGTCAAGAAGCTGTTTGTTCGACGGAACTGTCAATGTCGGAACACTATAGCATATAGCTGCCATATAAACTGAACGATTAAAATCAGGGTCTTGTACGGAAAACTTTTTATTTACTTAGCAAATATACCAGTATGTAATATTCATTGTAAAACTTAACTTTTTTGATATTATAATACTATTAATATAACATGACTAAGCATTAACGCAAATGATCGTTAATTTATTATTTCAAACATTTAAAAATAGATATACAATATTTCACATAAAACTATTTACTTTATATAGCATATGTGTGTACATAGGTATATAAGAAAATGGTGTAAATATTTGAATGTAGTATACAAGAAAAATGGAATTCAATTATTTTATAAAACTCGGCTATACATATGTGTATTTGCAAAATTTGTCAACAAAAATTTAGAAAATGTCAACTCTGTTTCCTGTTTTTTTTTTTTTAGCTACTAAAAATATTGTTTTATAACTTAGCACAAAACCGTCAATTATTCCATTACTAAACAATCTGTTCACTTCGCCACTATCGAATGCCTTCTGCTCGTACCTACAGTTACATGCCACATTTAACTAATTGTAACGATAATATCTTGCCAAATATGCAAATGCTCTGAATACTTGAAAGCATTGTGAGTCAAAACAGTGGATAAATTTGTAAATAATTGTTTTATAGCAATTCGATTGAGATAAGCAAGTAAGCGAAGGCTAAAGGCATATCATTTACGAAAGTATTCGAATTCCACTCGTCAAACTTCAACTTAAATTTAATACAATTAATGCCTTGAGGATATGCAGCATTTATGGAGCTATAGAACAATAGACATTTTAGCAATTCCGGCTGCAATCAAAAGCATACGCAAACACACGCGCGCACAAAGTGTACTGCTAGCTGAGTAATTAGAAACAAGATTGGAATTATGAAATTTCACTTAAATTTCGATAACTCAACTGACGAGTTATGTTCAGCGGTGGTGAAGTAAGGAATGCATGACTGCCTTTGTGTCGAGTAGAGTGGAAGTATCAGTTTCAGTAGCTGTCAAGTTGCTGTCGTGTTATTGTTGTTGCAACTGCTGCTACTGCTGCTGCCACTGATGGCATAGCCATATAAAATGATTGTTGTTTTCATAGCTGTAAATTGTGATTGCATGTTTTATTGTTGTATGCAAACAAATATTCTATAGTACATATATGCATAACATATGATATATGTATGTTTTTTGTGCATATGTATGTGTGTATGTGCGTTTGTGTGTGAACAAACATAAACTTGTGTGCGGCATAAACATATCACACTACTGAACACGTCACAATGTCAGACAAGTGACGATGCAGCGCAATGACAGCGAAGACAAATGTAAACACAACAACTGATGGCAACAACAAACATGCACATACCCACACACACACACACACACACATACATTTGCGCGTATAATAAGCACATATTTACATATTAAAGATAATTGCTGCACTAATACGCTTGGCCGGGGGTATAAAGAATCACTGCGGAGCCAACAAGTTCACACTCAACGCCAGCGAAGAATGAAAGGTGCGCTTGTGTACAACAACAACAAACACAATAGAGACGCGTGACTATATTTCTACAATTATCATTTGCGATATTCAGGCATATTTTTTGATTTTACAGTACTGTCGGCAGCTTTCGAGCTTTGAAGCTCCTTTTTCGCATGAATATTCATTTTCAGTTTTGTTATTATTTTGATCGCTCAACTTTCTACGTTTAATTAGTCCACACAATTACTTGTAATCATACTGCTGCTAATTGCCGTTGCTAGAGATTCTAGTTGCTCCAATAGTTCTGCATATACCGCTTATATATTGTAGTTGCATCCATGCAATGTTTTTGTCAATAAAATTGTGCAATTGGGAAATTTATTGTATTATTGCACACAAATAATCAGTCGATAAATGCAGATTGCTCATAACTCAGCAGTTTCCATTAGGAGCGCACATTTTTTATATTCATTAAAATTACAATTTTTTATCGCACTCGTAATCTCAATTACAAAGTACCGTTATATAATTGAAACTGTGCATTGCCAATCGCATTTGAATGCATTTATTTGACATTTCATTGCACAGTTATTAATTAGTTGCCAGTTGATTGTTTTGCGTAAATTTTATATTGCATTTTTTTACTTTTTGTTTGCACTTTTATTTCCGGTTAATAAATATCTGAGATTTCGCATAAAGATCTCGCAGTAATGATTGTGTCATGCTAGTTTCTGTAATAATATTGGGGAATCAGCAAAACATCACTATAAAAATAGAAATAAACTAAGCTAGGCAAGAGATATAAAAAATAAAAAATTTATATATAAAATTTGAACATTTTTGTAGTTTATGCTACAGTCGTCCGATCTGACCAATTTGTTTTGATATTCTTGCTCTGCCTTGTATAATAATCTATGCCAAATTTTGTCAAGATATCTTGTCAACTAAAAAGTTTTCAATACAACAACCTGATCCGTTTGTATGGCAGTCGTAGGATATAGCAGTTCGATCGAAACAATTTACTTGGATATTGTAGCATTGCTTTGGACAGTAATTGGTGCCAAATTTCATGAAGATATCTTGTCAAGTATAAAGTTTTCCATATAAGACTTAATTTTGATCGATTAGTTTGTATGGCAGCAATATGCTAAAATAATCCGATAATTTTAGTTCCAGCAAATGAACAGCTACTTGAAGAGAAAATTATGTGTGCAAAATTTCCAATATATATCTCAAAAGCTGCAAGAGACACATGGACATACTTTATAGGTTATCCGACGTTTCCTTCCAGTTGTTACACACTTCATGGCACAATTAATATAAATAAATTTATGTTCAAAAATAAATTTTTAAATCAAAAACTTTTATTTTTCAAACTCTAAAATACACAAAAAATGTGTAGTGACGTTACCAACGGAAGAAATCTTCAGTAACAGATCAACGAAAACGTCAGCGAGCTTGAAAATTCACAAACATAGTGTGATGGATACACATTTTTCCTGCAAATGTCATAGTTTCCGAACTAAATAACTTATAGTTCCATCGAAATGCCTTCTATGATCGACTCATGACGCGCTCATCTGAATGGACCATTGCTTGTCAAAATGTCAAACCTTTTGATAAAAATGGCTTAACCCTAACTTTTCTTTGTGCTTTATTATCAATAATAGCTTTAAAAGCTTTAGAGCTTTTAGATATCAGTAGTTGACGTTCCTTTTGAAAATAATTTCCCATGTTCTAACTCAGACCTCTTCGTAATCAAAATATAATGCAATACTGATGAAGGCGATGCTTAAGAGATGTTGAAAGCCCCTGATTTACCACTTTTTCGACATTTCACGACGAGATCTCAATGATTGTTATCGTTCCTCAAATAAATAATCTCTTATATATCGAATACCAAGCCAACTTTTCGTATGAAATAATTGTCGGACAGCATTCGATTATATCTTCGAAACTTTATAATTTTGATATAAATATAGCATAAATTTGATTTATAACATTATTTGTCTTTATCAAGTCTTTCTCTGAATTTTTTTCATATTCATACATTCATTTAATTTAATATTTAATCTAATATTTCGAAAATTCCCAAACTTTAAAACGCTTAATGGTAATGCAATCTCATACTAAGTTCTAAAATAAAATGTTTTCTAGCTAAGTTTACAACAACAAAGTCCAAATATTTTTTTTTAATTAATTGTTGTAAGAAAAAATTAAAGTCGATGTAACAGAAGAATTGTTTCAAGTGTAATAACCATACTGCAAACATTTTTAAAACAAAAAAAGCACACGTAACAAATTTGATTAAAATGTCAAAAAGCTTGCTTAGAAAGCTTTTATACAAGAAGAATATCTATACAAAGTTGAAAATATCTTACCGTCTTCCTCTCCGCAGACAAACCCGCATATATCAACTATGCCGAGCAATCTTCAACTCATTTCACCCATTTAACATTCAATCAGAATTTTTCAACGATAAATTATACAACATTATTGTAACAAATTAAAAATAACAACTAAAATTGCGATCGTGAATCACTTTTGTAGCGTTTACAAAATTGGAAATCCCCAACTGACTAAAACAAAAGCAAGCGTTTCAATTAAATACCTACGATCGTTAAAGCAAATTACCACAAATTAGCCGTAGTCTATTCATATTCATTAATTAAAAGTTGAAAATCTAACTTTTTTATTCTTTTTACCGTTTCATTACAGTTACAACAACGTGCGCGCGCAAACTATTTGAGCTAACAACGGAAAGACGCCACCGGCTAATTGAAAGGCGGAGAATCTCACAATTTTTATATCACGAATAATATTGCAACAAAAATATAATTAAATTATTAAGCAACAGTAAATTAAAGATTTTTGCAGCGAATGCAAACAAGTTTAAATTAAACGCCAAAAAAATAAGTGCCAAAGTGCTAAGGAAAACCACGGACGAATACAAACATATACAATTCTATAGCTTGAAGGAAAGTCTAATCTAACAAAAGGTCTAATCAACACATATACACAAACAAAAGTGCCGAATATACATATTTGTAATTAACTGCCAGACGCGCGCATCTGCGTTAAACATTATATAACAATTAAAATTACAAACGTGTCAAAGGGTAAGTACGTTGTATACTTATACACACCCAATAATGACAAAATCTTTAAGCATAAATGCGTACGAGGTCTGTTAAAAAAAAACGGTGAATTTTCATTTTTCTTAAAAAATATTTATTTATTCATCAATTACTTTTTGGTATACCTTGAGCTCTCTCACCTAGTTTTGTATTTTTGGCCTCGGCTCTCCTGGGCACTTCCATTGGTTGTTAATGTGCTGGGGCATCCAGAGCGAGCGTCACATCTACTTAACCTTATATGACAAGCTTGTATGTTACCACTTTTGAAAATTTGTTGACTCAGAGTACACTCACCGTATGCACTGTCGACATCTCAATTGTTTTTGAACACTTTTTCACACAAAATTTTATACAAATCTTTGAACCTTTTTTTTGACAGCAGCAAACCACATCTAACCTTTATGCCCCTCACAAATAAAATAAATATGCTATACTCATACAGCTTGAGAATGCACCTTCTTTTTTGAACAGACCTCGTACCTTTGTATAAAGTTATCTCTTCTTTACCTGCCAGCTTAATTAAATTAGCATGTGTTAGACGCTTGTACGTCCATATATATGTATGCAAGGATTATAGTTTCAAAGACTCTTTGTTGTAGTGCGCACAGGTGGCTTACGGTGGCATTTAAGTCAATTTTTTACATGACGTCACTTTTACACTTGCGTCGGAAACATTGCTGCCACTCCATTACCGCCACTGCCACTGATTGTTAGCTCAGTTGTAAGGTTTGATGCCACACGGTTGCTTAAACGGTAGTGGTGAGAAGGCAGTGGCGCCCGCATATTCATACTCCTAGTCCTATGTTAAAGTAATTATGTATGTAAATGTGTATTTGGGTGAGCCAAAAACTAACCCATCGAATGGGTTAAAATTAATCTTTAAATAGCGAAAATAATATCCCTGGAGGGAACAACTTTTTGCTTAATTTTAAATGGTCTCGATAAGAATTCAAACTGTTCCATATATGGTAAAGACCTTTTCAGTTTATACTCTGAATGGAACTTCAGATTTCTTGTTCAGTTTAAACACGTTTATAAAAAAAATTAATATATAATCAATCTATTCTGTACCTCTTTTAAGCTCAGTTTTAACTGCTTGTTGCATATGTAGATGTATACCTCCATTTTAAAACGTATCAATTATTTATTATAAATTATTATTATAAATAAATTAATTCCTATATTGATTTTTAAGCGGAAAGTACCAACAATAAATAAACAATTTATTTTTGAACACTTCAGTTAATCAAAACTAAAAACGAGACTTTGCAATAACTTACAGTATTAGAAATTGATTTATACGACGCATGCAACTACACAATAATTAATAATAATATACCGCTTAAAAAAATACCTGCGAGTATTTATTCATATAACAGGCTATTTGCCGCAATCATGCCGGGCGTATACGCAACATTAAAAATTCAAGGAACTACAAAAACGCCAATAATACAAACAACACGAATATATAAGATTGCCTGCATAAATTCATTTTATGTTTATTTTAAAACGGCTAGACGTTATCAATTTAAATGTGCATACTCCTAGCTCATCACTCAACACACTGTTCTTTGTAGGATTAGCGCTGAGATTTATTGCACGATATGTTAGTGTTTCATGAATTATTCTACAGTTATGACTATGAGTAAATAGCAAATAATAACGGAGTGCAATACCGAAGTAGAAAAGCACACCTGCTCAACGTCATTGAATGCACATGAGTAAATACACTAAGATATGTGATTGTTCATAAAATTTTATGACTTGTTTTAGTACAAATAAGCCTACACACATGAATATATGTATATGATTTAATATGGTATAATACTTATTTAACACATTACAACACGTTTTAATAAAGCAATAACCGCAAAGCACCACACAAGGGTGTAATTAATTTTTTTTTTTTTTTAATTTCTAAATAAACATTTGTGAGATATAATCGCTTTTTAGCGTGAAATCATGGAAACTTACTAATTTTTTTGACCAATATTGGTTTAAGAACTTTACTCAATTTCGTTAGGGCACATAAGAAAAAAATATTTAACGCTCACATACACACAAACACCTGCTTATATAACTTTTACTTTTAGCCATCACTAATTTGTTTGGTCAGTGGTGAGTAGAAAATGCAACATTTTGCAAGCGAATCGCTACTTTATTCCCCAAAAAAAATAATAAAAACTAGAAAACTTCGAGTGCACCAAAGTTATAATACCCATCACAGATGCATTTATTAAATGATAAAAGGATATTAAAAAATGTGTATTAAAAGAACTTGATTCCGATCGTTCAGTTAAACCTGCTATACAGTATATGCTGAACAATTTTTTCGGTGATTACACCATTGCCTTTGATTATAAAGTGTGCCAAATTTCTTGAAGATATCTTGTCAAATAAAAAAGTTTTACATGCAAGGACTGGATTTTGATAGGTCAGTTCGTGCGGCAGCTATACGCTATAGTGGTCTGATATAAGCGATTCCGACAAATAAACAGCTTATTGGGTAGAAAAGGAAATTCAGATAGATATCACAAAATCGCATATATACATACACACAGACAGCGATGACATAACTAATTCGACACAGCTCATCATGCTGGTCATTTATACCTATATATTGTATACTTTACAGGTCTCCGACATTTCCTTTTGGGTATTACAAACTTCATCGTAAACTTAATATACCCCAATTATTGTATAATAAACCAATACAATATGAACAGGCAGCTTACTTTCCTGCCATTACCCCGATGCGGGATGCATATAAAATTATTGCCACCTTTTAGCAGTTCATTAAAGCCACTTAAGCCGCTGCGGCAACGAAAAATAACCTGGCAAATAAAGCCGCGCAAGCCAACTTTAATGCATTGGTGTGTTATATATAGGAGTCTGAATTTATTTGTAAAACTACCCCTTCACAGCTGCTGGAAATTATAACCCCACCTTCTTCCAACCATGTTAATTTCGCCGCCACCTACTACAATATGCATGCCTTCGTACCTTCTGCACAAACACACACATCCATGAACAGAAGTGGATATGTTGCAAGTGAACACCTTCCACTTTCAATACAAATACACATACTTGCACGCTTGCCACTTCGTATTTTGTAATATTTCGTGCCGCATTTATGCTGTTAACTAATGTGCAAATTTGTAGCTTAAAAAGTTTCAACTAAAAAGTGAAATACCATAAATTTTGCAGCAACTGTTGCTGCCGGTGGCACTTGACTCTCTCTCGTACACCTCCTACTTACTGGTATATGCCTTTATTCACCCATTCCTTCAATATCTTTATAATTTTTCGTTGGCTTTGCTCAGCCAGCCACGCGACTCGGCAAGCAACAGCAGGCAAGGATTGTAGTTATATTTGTGCATTATGTTTCTATGCAACACATCCTACTGTATTACTGATCCGCAAAATATGCTTATGTTTACCGCAGCTCCCAGCAGTAAATTTTAAATGACAAGCGTTTAGAGATTTGTTCGCAAACAAAATGCATGTTAATAAGAAATCCTATAAGGTGATATAATTAAACTCTTGATTAAGACAGAAAACTGTAATTTTGTGAGAGGAATCGCAGAAGTAATGGGCTTCTGTGAGCTGAAAATTTTACCCTAAAATAGGTTTCATCTACAAATAAGAGCTATATCACCTTTTTATACTCTTGCAACATGTTGCTACAGAGTATAATAGTTTTATTCACCTAACGGTTGTATGTGTCATCTAAAAATAATCGAGTTAGATATAGGGTTATGTATAATTAATGATCAGGTTGACGAGACGAGTTGAATTCCGAGTGACTATCTGTCTGTCAGCGATAACCTGAGTAATATGGTGCACATGTTACTTATCATAAAAGTAAGAACGGGTTCATAGATGGGTATAATCAGACCGCTGCCACGCTCACAAAACGATATTAATAGAAAACGTATTAAGTGTCATAACTAGGCCGTAAATTACAACACAGAACTCAAATTTACCACAATGAATTTTAATAACAAGTGGATTTGGCCACGCTCCCTAATTTGTTTAATGTATATACCTCCCGAAACAATAAATCTATATCACCCAAATTTGCACGATACAAATTTTTTCAATACTTCGATACAGCCACGCCTGCTTCCCAAATAACACAATTTTAAATTCCATCTGACTCTTTCCCTTCTCAGTATGCAAATCAAGCAATAATGAATGTGTCAAGATAAAACTTTGCACGAATAGTGCGCTTTAAATCGCAATGACCAAAAATTATCAAAATCGGGCCACAACGGTTCGAGCCCCCATATACCGAATATGTGAACCCAAGTACCTATAGTTGGCATTTTACCGAAAATATCGGTCAATGTGTGAGATATATATAGTTAAAATTCAGAGAGGATCCTGATAATATTATGTTTGTATGTCAAAAATGGATTGAACTGAATCAGGCTTTAGCTTGATAAAGATTTTCTAACTTCCGGCTGACTTTAAAAAGGCTATTGACATGATATAGAAGAAATTTGTACAAATTAAAACAATACCACGTTATTAATATATTTATATATAGATATATATATATTTATATACATATTTATACAATATTATTTATAATGATGAGTAATAGTTGTCAATGCCAAATCTTAAAAATTTTACTACAAAAATCTAATTTTCTTATTATTTTAGCTTTAGAAGATGCAATATTCTCATCTCAATATAATATTTAATAACATTTACTTTTAAGCTTAACCCAACAAGGATGATGCTGGTTTATTTTGACCAAAAAGTTGTTGTCATTTATTTTTCATGTTGTTAGGAAGAAGTTATAAAAAAGCTACACGTATATAGATACAACAATATAATCTTAGAAACTAATTTTTGTATACCTTAATACGAAGCCTACCTGGAATAAATTGATATATCTGTTTATTATCTTAGTTTTGTTAATTATTCTTCAAAAGCATTAAAATAAATAAATGTAGAAAAGTTATTGAAATTAT